TTTCGGGACCAAAGCCCACAGATCCCTTCTTCATGGAAGCTGGCCAATGGATCTTGGAAGGAAAAATTATCAATTTACAATTGATTATGTCACACATAAGCAACTTTATTACTTAAACAATTGGAATAAAGCATGCTACATGCATCGCAGAAGATCTCTGAAAATAATCTAGTGTGACTAAACATGCTGCATGAGAACTAGCTTTTGCGATGTTTTGTAATAGTTTGATGTTAAAAAAAGGGAAAGGGGGGGGGGGGGAACTCTCTTATGCACAACGCATTTTTTGTAACATCGTGTAATCTATAACTGTGGTTACAGCAGACATAGGTAAGTTCCTTTGCGAATTTTGAAACAACATTAAATCCGGACAAAATAATCACCGCACATAACCTAGAGACAAATAGATATTCTGATTAAGCGATGCTGCGTACAAGGTATAAATCCACATAATCAAGCTGCAAGTCTCTCAAAGTTCTGTCTAATGCTTTTGGCACATCTTCTGGATCATGATCAGCATTCCTGCAGATCACCATAATTTCAGCCGTAGGCAATCCTTTGTTCGTAGGAATGGTCCTACTTGCATCACTCTAGCATAAAGGGTGAAAACAAATGAAATTTAATCAAAAATTCAAAAGCTAGAACAAACCAGAGTTTAGAGGTAATCCACAAATCCTCACGCTTCACTACACCCTCCTCAAACAGCTTTTTCAGTACTGAACCAATCTGCAGTGGCGAGATCGAATCATTTGCAGTTGAATCATGATACCAAAGTTTAACAAAAATATGACTTTGCATCAATTCTTATAATTACCTCCTTTTCGTTGCCATATATATGAGCACAATCAATATGCCGGTAACCAGCCTGTAACTTCCAAACAAAGCTATTTAGTTGAGTGCCAAAACACCAATGGGATGTTTAAACAAAGAAGCAAAAGAGAATTGTGTACACAGTCACTCAGTCTTCCTTTTCTTTCATTTTTATGTTCCTACTCATGTCATGCCACCCTTGTTATTTTATAAACGAATTTAACGCATAAATAGACGCCATCAACCTGCTTTATCCCTTGGGCCAGGGAGAAAAAACAATATCTATCCTCAATCCAATCCTTTTTCTATTCTTCAGTCCTATAATTTTTAACACATTGAGACATCCTCATTGCAAGTTTTTTAAGGTAGAAATGAAAATGTTACAAATGGAAAATATTTATATTAATTTCTCATACAAACTTTTGACCTTCCCGCAATTCACATTGTCCACTTGCTCGGAAACAAAACTAATATAAGAGGACAACCCACTTTTGGCCTACCCACGTTGCAATGTTTCTCACCCACTTCACTTTTCATACTCTCTCTCTCTCTCTCTCTCTCTCTCTCTCTCATATTTTCCAGGCTCAACACACTTTGCATTGGTCTCAAAGTTGGTTTCCTTTCTCCGCCAATAAGCATGAGAATGTTAAGAACTCAAACCTTTTGCACCGCCATATGACAGCTACTGGATGAGTTTAGAAAGAAACTAGCTAACAGTAAGCCCCTCCATTTGATTTAGTAAGTGAACCTAGATTTTTTCCAGAGACAGTGATGACTATCAACCTGAACCTAAAATCTTCATTCAAATTACTATGAACTAACAAACACGAATGACCACAGTCCGACACCTCAAATTTCAAGCATTTAATCATCCGAAAGCTTAAAGAAATAACAAAGGAATAGCGCGAGATCGAGAGCACAAAACGAGAAGAAGTGAGAATGGACCTTGATGGCAACAGCAACGGCGTCGCCAACGACACCGGGAGAAGACTGCCATGTTCCCAAGCCAACGGAAGGGATCTGAGCTCCAGTGTTCAGTGGGAAGAATCGAATCGCGTTGCTCGCCATTGTTTTTCTTTCTCTGCAAACAGATTATGAACCAAAGCAGACGAAGATACTACTGAAGGAAGCCAAAAGTGAGACGAAGATGAAAACAACGCGTGGTCGGGATGAATAATGAAAGCCAAAGGTTTCAGGCGGCTAGTGGGCGCGGGAGTTTCATGACGCTTTTCCCTCTTTTACTGCCACGTGTACTCACGCCTCCCATTTCACTTCTTCACTAAGAATTTTGGTGAATATTCTCTGTTTAAAACATTTACGACAATTAGCAGGGCAGGATTTAAAGTTCAACTTAGAGGATACTTACAGAATTATTTACAAATTTTTATTAATAATATTCTCACATCGATAACAGGATTCAAGCATATATTAAATATATGTGGGTATAATTTTTCCCGATTATGTTTAATATCTTTAACTATATATGGACTCCAATTGTGAAAGTATTCAAAAAAAAAAAAGTCATTTATACATAACTAAGATATATTGAACTTAGGGGGTGTTTGGTTTATTTGAAAAGTGCTTTTAAAAAGTATTTTTTTTCAAATCGAGATAAATTCCTCAACATATTTATTTCATATGCTGTAAAAATACTTTTAAAACCATAATTTTGATTTCATCTAAACATTTTTTCAGTTAAAAAAAATTGTAACAGTTGAAGATAATTGCACTAGTCCAAATTTAAGTTCTTATTGGCAAAAAAAAATTTCTGTAGAACTTCTCACCAAAAAATCCCAATTTTTTTTTATTATGATGGTGGCTCAATATTTGGAAAACTGGATTCTTCAAGAACAATGGATTATGGCTACGTTTCAGTCTTCAACTTCTAAAGCCGATTGGTTATGAATTGAAGTATTGAAACTCACCGCATAAAGTCTGCGTCTTTGAATCCGCACAACGGTAACACCGCCCCACAATCGCGATTATCATTTGGCGCCGCACATTGATTCTTGCTGCTGCTTTTGGGTTAGTGCATGGAAGGTTGCGTTACGGAGCATTTGGGGCTCATCTTTTGGGTTAATGTGTGAAAGCTTGCATTAAAAACCGGTTTGGATGCTCACCTTGCGTGTGGACCTAAAGCTCATCCCTTTTAGATTATTTAGATTTGATTTGAATAGTTTAAATTTAATATTTTTAAATAATCCCTTTTAGATTATTTAGATTTGATTTGAATAGTTCAAATTTAATATTTTTAAATAACAAAAATATTTTTTAAAAAAGTAGTAGTTAAGAAATTATTTTATTTAAGATTTTATACTCATTAAAATAATTATTTTTAAAAAATTAAAAAGAAATTAATTCTAGACTGTCCATGTCAGATCTAGATGGTCTATATAAGCACCCAAACCGGTTTAGTAGCAACGAATAAACTTATTGGATAAACTCGTAAGTTATAACCCTTAAGTAAGTAGAAATGGAAATTTTGTTATTTATTAATTTAATTAATAATTTATTGTTCAATGTGAGTATATGGAAATGGTCTGGTCTCACCATATTAGAGTCGCCGTACATTATGTTTCTTTAGCCCCTATGCCTCGTTCTCTACTCTGTGGGTGGCAATACAGATTGAATCTCATTTCTTTCTTGTTTTTCTAATGCGTCACTGATTCCCTTAGGATTCCGTTGGAAGTTAGTGTGATCCCCCCCAATTATTCCTTCAGGATCGACGCCCAAAAAAAAAAAAGTCTAATAAAATAGACGACACCCTGAAAAACATATGGTATTATTCTTCGTGCCATATTGCAATAATTTTCATTAATTAAAAGTGGGTGCCTCTCACAGTATACTGACCTTGAAAGGCAGGGGCAAGATGCCATCATAGTTGAAAGCCTCACTTTCCAATACTACTTTTCCTACACATATTTATCCCGTATGAATACTCTCTGCAGAATTTATATAAATTTAGCGGATGTGGTGGAGTGGTTCAAGATAATAAAAACCGATGGATATTTAGTTTTAGCTACGATCACAATTATTCCACCAGCTATTACAAAGTTAATTGATTTTATACATAGACTTAACCTTTGATGGTCTAGGGGAATTCGGAACACCCTTTTAAAGATCTAGTTGATGATATCAAGTTGCTAGCGCACAGGGGTTGGTAGGCTATGTTTTGTCATGTTCATAGGAATCCATACCCCTTGCTGTTTAGTTAGCTAAACTTTCTTATAGGCTTGATGAAAATTTTTGTATCCTTAATCACACCCTTCACCTCTCGACAGTGATGAAGGAAGTTAGGTTTTCTCCTATTATTTTACTCTGTTTTGATTTAATGGCTTTCAGTTCTCATTCAAAAATTGAATCAATAACAGAAGATGGATTATGCATTGAAAATAGTAGACTTTGGAACATAGCCGTTGTGGATAAACAGCCATGGACTTTTGGCTGCAGAGAATATCAGTGACGTCCATTTAAAAAAATGCTGAAATATGGTCATATACTCCTTCATATGCTGGAAAGTACCTCACATGGTAAATATACCATGTAAACAGGATATACTTGGCTGCAAGGTGGCCAGCACAAGGTTTAAACAGGTCAAATTCATCTATAACTGGTTGTCATCCCTATAAACACTCCATTATTCTGTGGTTAAATGTTCATAAAAAAGGTTTAGCCAAATAAAGGCCGCCATACATGTGGATTGGTATGAATGAAACTAGTTGTTTGTTATGTGAACAAGACGCTGAGTCAGTTCACCATTTGCTTGTTAAATGTCCATATGCTGCAAGCCTTTTAGATGTTGTTCATTGTTGGATGGACACCCCCAACCGTACTGTCCTAAACGACTTCTCAGGTGGCAACATTGGTTAATACATTCAGGAAATGGCAAAAATCTCATATTCAATGTTGTTGGCTGTGGTTTGGCAGCAACTGTGTACTGCCTATGGAAAAAAGAAAGAAAGAACCGGAAATAAAGTAAAAACAAAGGTGACTTCATGAAAAAGAGAAAATACAGAGAAAGAAGCATGAATAAAAAATAAAAGAAAGATAAATAAAACTGATTAAATGATCGTAGAGGGATTGAATTGCTAAAACTGAAAGAGTGAACACAGCAGTCATCCAGTAATCCATAAAATTATTGATGTCAAGGACCAAATAGCAGTTTTTTTTTTTTTTTTTTTGCCAACAAGGACCAAATAGCAGTTACAGGACACGTTTTGCTGACTAATTGTACATAGTACACAAATCCCACTTTCCCAGCACCCTTACATCTGAAAGACAGATTGGGCTTCACCTATTCCTTCTACTTCTCTGATTGGCCACTCAGCTGACTGCTCAGATTTCACCATCCCAGAGTTCCTCAACAGATCTGTAGGCTCCATAAGTTTCATGGACAAAAGAGGCACCCCTGACTAATCTTGCCTGAAACAGCATAAACCACCGTCATAATCATCATCACATTCTATATCATAATTGTTGTCTTGGCCATTCATGGAAGACTCAATTTCAATGATACTTATACGGGTACAGGGCTACAGATTTCCATATCCCATTTGCATGACCACGTAACCACGTGGAAAGATCTCATTCCTTGATATTTTTATTTGTTAGTCTTGACTCCTAACCATTCATGCAGGTTTCAAATACCAAAATTTTAATGCTTCCACAGGCGTGATAAATTTTCTTTTCACTCTACGTTTTTACTGTTTCACGCAGCTTAACACAGCACAATCATCTATCCATGTCTTCATGTCTTGAAATAGCAAAAAGACTGAAAGTAAAAATAAAAAACTAACCTGTTGAATTTCAGAAAATTTTGAAAATAAATCCTCAGGTATAGACCAGTCGAAAATGTCAAAGTTCTCTTTTATCCTAGCCTCATTTGTGCTCTTGGGAAGCACACTATGACCCATTTGCAGTCCCCAGCGAAGAGCTACTTGTGCAGGAGTTTTTTCTAATTTATCAGCAACTATATTCAGAACTGGATGCGTCAAAACGTCACTTTGAAGCCAGGTTGTCCCAGGAGAACCTAATGGTGAATATCCCTAGCCATATGCAATTAAACAACCTCCGTTGAAGGAACAAAAATAGTCTTTAAGATCTAGTTGCCAACTGTCACAAACCTAAGTACAATACAGCTACTTTTCAAAATCCGTGAACTTACAGAGAGGTGGACACCTTTGGACTTGCAGAAAGCCCGCAACTTGTCCTGCTGCCATGAAGGATGACACTCTACCTGATTGACAGCAGGAGGTACACGTGCTACCTCAAGCAAGTCCGCCAGCTTTTTGGATGAGAAATTGCTCACACCTATGGCTCGAGCCTTGCCAGAGTCATAGAGTTCTTCCATTGCCTTCCATGTGCTAGGAATGTTGGGTGGCAAAAAATTTTCAGGCTGAAAGCCCACAGACCCCTTCTTCATTACAACTGGCCAGTGGATCTTAAAAGGCAAAGTCATCAATTTACAGTTGATTTAATCATAAATAAGTTATGCATCTTTATTGAAGAATTGGAATAAGGTATGCTACATGCATCACTGAAGATCTCACGAAAAGTAAAGTTCAGCAAGACATGCTTCATGGCAAATAGTTGTCACAATATTTTAATTGTTAAGGCAATAACAGAGAGCCACTTCGCGCATATAGCATTTTCTGAAACATCATGCGATCTATGCAACAAAATGAGGTTAATTACAGCATGCAAAGGTAAATCCCATCACAAATCTAGAAGGAATTTAAATCTAGACTAAATAATCACTACATGTAACCAAGAGAGAGATGGATACTCTGATTAAGTTATACTGCATACAAGGTATAAATCCACATAATCAATCTGCAAGTCTCTCAAAGTTCTGTCCAATGCTTCTGGTACATCTTCTGGTGCATGATCATAATTTCTGCATAAAACTATCATTTAAACCACAGGCAATTATTGGGTTCTAGACAACGTGAAATACTCACAGTTGCATGATTCTATTTGCATCACTTTAGCTTGCAGGATGAAACCATACAAAAGTAAATTGAAAACTTGACAAACCGCAATTTAGAGGTAATCCATAAATCTTCGCGCTTCACTACCCCCTCCTCAAACAACTTCTTCAATGCTGAGCCAATCTGCAATGACAAAGATTGAAACATTAGCACTTTTGCGGCATCTAAGATGTCTAACAATATTTTCAATTACCAAGATATGGCTTCACATCAATCCTTATAATTACCTCCTTTTCGTTGCCATAATTCTGAGCGCAATCAATATGTCGGTAACCAGCCTGTAATTTCCCAAAAAAAAAAAAGAAAAAAGGTCATCTAGTTGAAGGCCGAAACATGGCAGGATTACAAAGATCAAACAAAAAAGAGAGAAGATCAACAACGTATTCACTCGTCACTTTTCTCTTCTCATTCCACCTAGGGAAAGGTGGGAAAAGCTAAACATAATACACAATATATCGTTCTGTTATACAAAATTTAAATCACACTCAGACCCCTATAATCCTATCCTCTTTATTTCTTCAATCTTTTGAACTTTTAGGACATTGTGACATCCTTATTACAACTAGAGTAGGGTAGAAATTACAATATCAAAAAGAAAAAAATTATTAATTTCTTACATAAAACTTTGACCATCCAGCTATTCAGGATGTGTGCTCATTCTGAAACAAAACTAACAGGACACCTCACTCTTCTCCCTAGACATCTTGCCGGCATCTCTCTCACACCCTTCGTTTTTTTCCCCCCCACACTGTCAGCCTCATCTCACTTCCATGCCATGCTCACTTATTTTCCACAGACTAGTAATAAACTTGACATTGGCTTCAAATTTCAAGTATTCGATCATAATAGCTAAAGCAACCACAAAGATAAAAGAAGTTAGAAATCGGAGAGCACAAAGCATTGGAAAAATGAGAAGGGACCTTGATGGCAGCAGTAACGGCGTCGCCAACGAGATCAGGAGAAGACTGCCAAGTTCCCAGACCAAGGGAAGGGATTTGTGCTCCGGTGTTGAGTTGGAAGAATCGAACCTCGTTGCTCGCCATTGTGTTCTCACTCTCCAAGTCAATGTAGAGAAACCAGTAGGAGTAGAATGAGAGGAGGCTAAACAAAGTTGCCTGGTACTCTTTTCTGGGTTAATTGAGAGCCGGAGATTTCAGGGTTCCTTGGGTGATAACGAACTGAAAAGATGGAGAAAGGTCATTCTATTTGCATCCCGACTCACGATCCATTCTCTCCCCGCCACGTGTACTCCAATGGATGTGTTTGACGTGTCATCAAAGGTCAAAACTGTTTCCAAACCGATTACAAAAAAAAAAAAAATTCTATTACCAAACCATTTTTTTAAAGAGTTATATTTCTAATTTCAATTATGTAAAAGTAAAATTCAATCAAAGGTTGGATTTTTATCGAAAAAGACTAATTATGAATTAAAGTTTGAATTATTAAAAAATATACTTATATTTAAAACCTGATAGTGCCCTGAACAAAATTAATTTTAACAAAAGCATAGCCTAACAAAAATAAAAGTAGTTTTTAAAAGCTCATAGGTTTCCAAGTATCCCTTTCACTGAAAATGGAGAAAGATATTTTATTATTTTGGTGTAATTAGTAGTATTTTTTATTTTGAAAAATATGATAATGTGGCTCAATTTTTTTTTCTTTTCCTATCATTTAATCTTATATTTCTTAGACTTGTTTTGCTGATTTAATATAGCTTCTTCTATTGGCCAAGAAAAATTTCTCTTGCTAACTATTTTTTTATTTAATAATGTTATCTTGAAAAAAAATTCCGCGGGTTGAAAAGTTAATTTTTTTTTTTTCAATTATACTTTTATCTACGTTAATTTTAAAAATTCAAAATAATATTAATTATTGAAATAAATTGAGGGACAAACTAAAAAATGAAAAGAAATTTGGACATACGGAATTTGTAAAATGGGTGCTAAAAATAAATAATTAGCAAATATGAGTGCATCCAAAACTTCCTCACAGTGTATCTAGTAAGAATGGTGAACTCACGTTAGAAAACCATTATTCGTATGCTTCATCTCCTAGAGTACAAGTTTCTATGACCTCAGTTATATATAGTAGGCAGTAATAACAGGATAAAGCGTATTCACTGAGAGTAAGGAGAAACCAATAGCAGATTTAGAATCTTTCACTATTCGCCATCCCAGAGTTCTTCAGTTGTTCTGTAGGCACCAAATGTCTCGTGAACAAAAGAGGCACCCGTAACTAGTTTCTCCTGCACCAGCATAATTCACCCAGTAAATCATTTTTGAAACGAAGCCTTCTATGCAAGCACCAAGCTATCTTTTTTAAGTTTCTTACAGCAATTTGCTTGTGCATAACACTAAATGATAGGGTTAATTATACCCTAATCCCCACAGGAGAGAGCAAGTGAGTACCCCTAGAATATTTATTTATTAGAGCAAGTAAATTCTTCTGATTTTAACTAAATCAGTTCAATGATATCTTTGAGATTTTATTCTATCTATCTAATGTTAGTTGACCATTAAGTTTGATTTTTAAAATTTTGTTTTGACCAAAGTGCCCTATATAAAAGGTTTTTTAAACATCTATATTTATGAAAAAATAATTTTGATACAACAAAAAAATAATTTAGTACATTATTTTCAAATTTTCAAAATGTAATAAAATTTATTAATTTTGATTATATTATAAAATTTTATAATTTTAATTTTCATCACATATAATGAAACTTATTTATTTTTGCTTCCTTCAATAGCTAGAAAATAAAATGGATATATATTTTTTATCATATAAATAAACGAGCCTCCAGAGCTTTGTATCACATATGTGATCTAGCAGCTTCATCAAATTAAAGCATGGGCGAGGGAGAGGGGATTCTCTATTTTTATTTTATTTTATTTGTTTTATTTTGAGTGAGTAGATTTTAATGCCCTAAAAGTGGCGCATGATGACAAAATGCCAAGTGTAATTTTTTTGTACGCTCGTTTTTTTTTTCTTGGGACCTTGGGTTGCACTCGAAATTAAACAAACCCTATAAAACAACAAAGTGGGTAATGGTCTCTCACGCTCTCCCTCTGTGCACGATCCACTCTGATCAGTGATTGCCTCTCTCTCTTCTGCGCTCTCACCCTAGTCGCCTCTCGTCATTCACTCCAATCCAGCTTGCAAGATGGCATCGTCCCTGCAATGAGCATCTCATTTCCATTCGTTCCCAGTCACCTCAGGTAGGTATCCGTCTCCTCCCGTGCCTCTCAATGCTTAACATTTTCTCTCCCTCTCTCACCTTTTTCTTGGAGGACAGTTCCGTCCGACCCCTTCGAGCTTGCCTGAGCTCGGAGCAGCTTCGGTGAAATGCTAGATGATGAAATTCAGGCATACCTGGAGTATTCCACGCCTTCAGATAGCTACGTGGAGATCCGGTTACAGCAGTGAACTCGAATCAGTGTTACACAGCAAAATGCCCGGTGGATGAGGAAGAAGAGAGGACAGGAGGGAGGGTCCGGAGAAAAAAGAAAAAGAACCGTGCCAAAATTGATGCTTTGGTGGTTTAACTCCATGTTTTTGAAAAAGAAAAAACTCCCTCCTCCACACAGTTATTGTCCAACCGTTCCCTCTTTTTTGGTAAATTAAATAAAAAAGCAAAAATTACAATTAGAGACCCACAAGTTCTGTTATTCACACCAGAACTTCAAAGTTAATGGGTTTGGGTCTAATCCACCAGGGTGGACTGGCCCATTTTCCTACATCTCCTACTCACACTTGGTGGATTAGATGTCATGGGTTTAGTCTCTTTTTCTCTCAATTTCATACGTAGTGCTTTACCGTGACGCGTGGGCATGACATCTTCAGTGGGTCCCTGTACTAGAAATCTTGTTTATAGGACCAGCACAAGTCAACCACTCCTACATGTAGCTTAAATTTTAAAATTATGCCTCAGATGTCCTAGATTTACTTGTATACACTTTTCATGGCAAATCTAATCTCTCTCGAGTCAATGTTTGACTCAGATTGTCCTTTTCTTATGTCTAGTGTCCACACTTATGACAACGAAATGTCATAAGGGACATGTCACAGACACTAGCATAAGTGTGTATATTGCAGTTAATCTTCCTTTCACCCAAATATTACTTTGATATGAATCAGTCGCTTTCCTAGCATAATACCTCAGATCGCATCTATCATAACCATAGGACACATGCTAAAGTAGTAGTCACTGAAACATATCTTCATGATACTGTTAAAGTTAAAGGACACCAACAGGAAGGTAATTCCTTCCTGGGACTCACACAGCAATGGGCAGGGATCTTTCACTTGCTTCCTTTACGGTTCTTCCAGCACATGTGGTACGAAACACATGCTACGGTGTTACTCTTTCACTATAAGAGCATATGTCATTTTGGACTTATCATTAACACCATACAGACTTAAGTTCAGACACACTTAGTATCTGAACCCAAATTCTTCAACTCGGCTCATATTTACGACATCGACATTGAAGAATTTGTTATTTGGCTATAGATATTATGGAAGTGGGATTCCAAATTTTGATCCGAATTTATCTACGTGGATCTCATCTTGACTTGCTACACTTTAGTCAAGGGCGACATAAAGTTTGTGTTTCTTCCTACCATATCAGCATTCTTTGCTGCTTTATTGATGAACACAAATGTCTCATATTTGCTCACTCCACCTAAGTGTCAAAGGCGGTTGCCCGTGTGAGAGAGCCAATCTTTTTAACCTGTACGACATACTAGACATTGTATACTTTCGAACAGACACATAAAGTAATGAGGGAAAAATATAATTTCATTAATGAGGTTTGCATATTACACTTTACACATGCCAAGGGCTTGCACATGTTCTTTAAAAACTTTTTGCCTATTGGCTTCGTCAGAGGATCTGTTACCATACATTGGTTGAAATGTATTATACAGTAACAATCTTTTGTGCTATATAATTTCTAACAAAATTTATTGATGATGTCAATGTGTTTGGTTTTGCTGTGATACTTAGGATCTTTAGTATAGGCTATGACTGCAGTATTGTCACAGTGTACTAACACCGGATTGGTACTCTTGTTTCCAAATCCAAGGTGTTCTATAAACCTTTTCAGCCATAAAGCCTCTTGTACTGTTGCGATGCATGCCACAAACTCAGCTTCCATTAAATGTAAGGTAATACACGTTTGCTTCTTGCTGCTCCAACATATAGTGCCATTGTTTAGCAAGAAGGCATAACCTAAAGTTGACATTCGTTCTTCTTCATCTCCGCCTACATCAGCATCGGAGTACCCAACAAGGCACAAGTCGCTTCCTTCGTAGCACAGTGCATAATTAGAAATGCCCTTTAAGTATCTTAAGATCCTCTTCACTGCTTTCCAATGCTTTTCACTGGGATTAGATTGGAATCTACTTACCAGTCCCACTGCATAACAGATGTCTGGTCTTGTACACATCATTGCGTACATCAGATTGCCAACAGCATTGGCATATGGAACTCTTTCCATCTTCTTTTTGTCAGACTCAGTTTTGGGACATATGTCAGGACTCAAGGCCACTCTAGTAGCAACTGGGGTACTCATGGGATTGCAGTCTTTCATGTTAAATCACTTAAGAATCTTGTTGATGTAATTCTCTTGTGAAAGAGAGAGGATTCGTTTTGAACGATTTCTTTAGATCTTAACTCCAAGTATATACTCTGCTTTGCCCATATCTTTCATCTCAAAATTTGACGAAAGCCATTCTTTAATAGCCACCACCAAATCTAGACTATTTCTAGCCAATAGTATATCGTCTACATATAAAGATAATATGACAAAATTACCCTCAAACTGCTTAATGTAGACGCAGTGGTCTTCCTCTATCATTTGGAAGTCATATGAGGTTATTGTTTTGTGAAACCTCAAATACCACTGTCTCGACGATTGTTTCAATCCATAAATGGACCTTTTGATTTTACAAACTTTGTTCTCCTTTCCTTTTTCAATGAAACCTAATGGTTGTTTCATATAGATTTCTTCATCCAGATCACCATTCAGGAATGCGGTCTTAACATCCATCTGATGTAATTCCAGGTCTAAACTGTTTACTATTACCAGAATAAGTCTAATAGAGTTGAAACGCACAACAAGTGAGAACGTATCTTCATAATCTATGCCTTCCTGTTGTGTGTATCCCTTTGCCACTAATCGAGCCTTATATTTGTCAATTGATCCATCCACTTTTCTTTTAATCTTGAGAACCCACTTGTTTCCAATGGCTTTACTCCCTTTTGGATGATCAATTAACACCTAAACTTGGTTCTTTTTCGTTGATTCTATTTCTTTTTCCATCGCTTTCATCCATTCCTCCTTGGCAGGACTTGACAAGGCTTCTCGTACAGAACGGGGCTCATCATCTCCTCCTAGAGTAACTAAGAAAGATTCTCTTTCTATTTGAAAGCGTCTTTTGGGAATACTTTTCCTATTACTCCTTCTAACGAGAGTTGTTTATTTGTCTTTCTTTCTTTGTTCAGCTCTCGGTGTTGACCTTTCTTGGCTCCCACTCAGATTGACACACCTAGACGATTCTGGTTTGTCAATTTGTTCTGCACTGTCTTGTTCCTGTGTCTCATAAAGAGAAACAGTGCGGTTAACCTAGGGTGTGGAAGGGACTGATTTTGAGAGCACACGGTTAAGTATGAAGGTTGCCGTTAATAAAGCATTACCCCAATATGAAATTGGCAGGTTTGCTTGAGCCATCATAGACCTAACCATGTCTAGAAGAGTTCTGTTTCTTCTTTCGGCAACTCCATGTTGTTGTGGAGTGCCAGGGATAGTCAGCTGTCTAATTATCCCTTTCTCTTCATAGAGCTGTTTGAATTGTTCAGATAAATATTCACGACCTCGATCAGTGCGTAATGCTTTAATTTTTTGATTCTCTACCTCGTTTATGTATCGTCTAAAACACTCAAGAGCTTCAGACTTATGCGAGATCAAATAGACATGACCATATCATAAAAATCATCAATGAAGATAATAAAATACGAAGCTCCGTGTCTCGCCCTCACACTCATTAGACCGCATATGTCGAAATGAATTAATTGCAATAGATTTTCAGTTCTTGTTCCCTTACCGAAAGGTTTTCTTGTTGCCTTACCAGCTAGAAACTTTTCACATAGGGACATTTTCATATTCGAAATGGCACCTAACAACCCTTCTTTGACTAATTTAATCATTCTATTTTGATTAATATGTCCTAGTCTAGCATGCCAGGTGTTTATATCAACATTACTTGAAGAAATAGCAAAGCATTCATTACTATTAAAATCACCAACAATATCCAAAACAAAGAACTTTTTAAACAAGAAAGCTGAACCATAAAGGACTGAGTTGCTTAAAATATCTGCAACTTTACCATGAAAGTTTACATCAAACCCAAACTCTAAAAGACATAAAATAGAAACCAAGTTCCGCCGAATGTCAGGAGCATAAAGTACATCATGGAGTATCAAGGTCTTCTTACCAAGCAAAGTAAATTTGCAAGTGCCCAAACCTTTAACCTCGATCCTCGTGTTGTTCACAATGTAAAGCCACTTGCTTTGATACGGTAACTGAAGGTACTCGATAAAGGATCCTTGATCCTTGGTTACGTGGTCTGTGGAGCCTGAGTCTATAATCTAAGAAGAAGAAACAAGTTTTGTTAGAAAAACAGTACTAGAAACATATGAAACATGTGAATTCACATAATTTACTGATACATTTTCGCTCTCAGCCTATTTTGAACAGTCACGTGAGAAATGGCCCATTCTCTGACAGGCGAAGCATTTGACCTTATTCAGGTCTAACTTCTTCTTCCCGCCTTTCTTTTCCTTCTTCTTAAATTGCTTCTTTCCCTTTTTGGGTTAAGGACCACCCTTCTTCCCTTTCTTTTGGAACTTCTTACCCTTCTTGGAATCAGGCCTTGATTGGGAAGTGCTAGCATCCTCAGTGTAATAAGCTTGTCCAGAGGTGTTGTAAGCCTCTAAATGTTCATCCTCCAGCTCTAAGTACTTAGCTATATCGTTAAAAGTAACGATGTTTTCATTATGGGTTAGATTAACCTTCATATGCTCCCAGCTAGCAGGGAGTAATCTGATAACAGCCTGTACCTGCTGTTCATCAGACAGAACATGTCCAGCTTCCTTAAGTTCTCTGATCATGTTGGCCATCTCTCTCAGATGTTGCTTCATATGATTGTTTGGCTTAAATTTGTAGGTATCGAACTTAATCGTTAACCTCCTAAGTTTGGTCGTAGAAGTACCACCAAACTTATCCTTCAATGCTATCCACATAGCTTGTGCAGTTTTGTGCCTCTCAAATTCGCACATTATGTTATCAACCATTGCACTCAGAAGCGTGATTCTTGCTATGCTGTTGTTCTTCTTCCAAACTTGGTAAGCCTCTTAGTCTCTCCTATGTTGGGCCGTATTCCCAACTTCAGGTTCGACCATTGCAATGGTTAAAGGTTCAACAGCATCTTGTTCTTTCAAGATGTATTGGACCTTTCGGTGCCATATGTCCCAGTTGTCCTTGTTAAGCTTTTCCCCTTTATTAAGCTCAGCAATTATGTTCTTGGTTGCCATTTTCAGTTCTGTGACACATTTATCCCACATTATTCTACGTTCTCTCTAAAAGAGAGACGTAACATAGAACATTTCAGTTATATAGCACAACGAAGTATACAATGTCATGTACTTATATCATCCTTGATCAGAAAGTAATGACACTGCAAGATCCATGATCAAGAGCATACGTTTGTACCTCTCATCACACAGATACAGGCAATGATCACTATGTCTTATCAAGAATTCTATATAAGCACTTCAAAAAAGACTCTTAGAAGTCTTATCTTCTAAAAGCTCTCACTTATAAAAAGCATACATATATTATTCACAAAATAAACATTTAACAATAATTTAAGTAATTTCATTAAATGAAATAAGACACTTAGTCTGTTTACAATGCATGAAACCAAAAACTTAACATAACAAATATTAATAAGGCAAATACAAATATTACATCAATTGATATGAAATGAATGTAATCAAGCATTGCTTTCCTCAATTTCCTAATTTTATGCGTTTTGGTCATATCTCTTTCAGCTATACTCATAGCTAAAGCAGGGGTACAGGGTTGATTCACTTCTTCTCCTTCCTCAACTTCGATTATATTTGGAAGATCTAGTGAATCGTTAAAGACCAAGTGAGGTTCGGCACGGAGGGGTTCAATGGGGAATAAAGTTTTCGACTCAGGTTTGGAAACCATTAACTCCTCTGGGTCTTCTTGAGGAACCTCTTCAGGGCATATTCTAGAACTCCATCATCCATGCATGAGTATTCCAATGAACCATGTTCGATATTTTCAGTGCTACCAGAAGCCTTTTGCTTCATCAGTGGCGTGGTAGCCACCTGATGGTGGCTTTTAACAGGGTTCAATCCCTGCCCGCTAAATGGTATCAGACCAAATGAATTGAGTTTCAATGAATCTGATCCCTAATCAAGATTTAATACAAAACGTAGGAAAATGGGCCAGTCCACCCCTAGTGAATTGGACCCAAACCCATTAACTTTAGAGTTTTGGTGTGAATAACAGAAATTGTGGGTCTCCAATTGTAATTTTTTCTTTTTTATTTAATTTACAAAAAGGGAGGGAACGGTTGGACAATAGTCATGTGGAGGAGGTAGTTTTTTCTTTTTCAAAAAATACCGAAGCATCAGTTTTTGGCACGGTTCCTTTTTTCTCCAGACTCCTCCCTCCTGTCCTCTCTTCTTCCTCATCCCACGGTACATTTGCTCTGATACCACAGATGAAATTCAGGCATACTTAGAGTGTTCCACACCTTCAGATAGCCACGCAGAGGTCCGGTTACGCCAGCAAACTTGGATCAGTGTTACACAGCAAATGCACCGGTGGATGAGGAAGAAGAGAGGACAGGAGGGAGGAGTTTGGAGAAAAAAGGAACCGTGCCAAAAACTGATGCTTCGGTGGTTTTTAACTCTGTGTTTTTTGAAAAAAGAAAAAACTACCTCCTCAACATAGTTATTGTCCAATCGTTCCCTCCTTTTTTTTGTAAAGTAAATAAAAAAGCAAAAATTACAATTGGAGACCCACAAGTTCTGTTATTCACACTAGAACCCCAAAGTTAATGGGTTTATGTCCAATTCACCAAGGGTGGACTAGCCCATTTTTCTACACTAGAAGACTGGAGGACCGTGTCGTGTTTACAGTGCTTGAGAGAACCACATACCTTGCACACACTGAAGTATATGAGGACGTTCGGCCCCATTCTCAGAATCTCCGGAGTGTTCTTTTTAAGACGGAACAGATTCAAGCGGCCTTCAAAGGGTTCAGGGTGTCGGAGGAAATCTCGTTCTTTCCAGATGCCCTACCTCAACCCCAGGTTATCTCAACCCTAAATCTCAACGACAAAATATTTTCCCTCTATGTCGCATCAATACTACCAGCGTTGCAACCGAAGAAGGCAGATGGCGACAATGCTGCCTCAGCATTTTTCTGTGACATATCTTGCTTGAAGGTGATGTCACGGATGGTACACTATAGTCCATACATAGCGGTACACAAGCTGTGCAGAGCTTCAGACGATACTATTCTAAAATTGAAAGAGGTAGCGGTGGCCTTAACTATAGTTTGATTAATTAATTTATTTATAATCTAATTGTTTCTATGTTCAAAGGACGCTCACGAGATTTGGAAAATTTTGAAGTCTGATAATGATGATTGGTATGATGACTGGAATATTCGATACGCGAGGATGGCTAGAGCCATCGGCGATAGTGCTGTAGCTGGTGTCACGAACATCTGCCTACATATGAAGTAACTGTCGTTGGATATGGCTTATATTTCAGTGATAAGCAAGCTCAGTCGAGATGGCTGAATTGCTGTCGCGGAAGAAATCAAGACCTGTTTTTTACTTTTTGTTGAGATGTGATGGAACTTGTTAATACTACTGCTCTGAAACTTGCTGTTAATGCTACTCTACTCTGAAACTTTCTGTTAATGCTACTCTGTTCTGGAACTTGTTAATGCTACTCTGCTTTGTTAATGCTAAATACAACTCTGTTTGGGTTAAAGAGATGAGCCACCTAGTTCTGATGGATCTTTTATTGATTTTTATGTTGCGTATAGATTAATTAAGTGCGAAAACTCATTGGGAAAGGCAGCTTTGTGCCTTGTTTACTCCTTGGGAATTTTCTCTTCCTGCCCAAACAGAGCATAAATCTCTGAATTGAAACTCATCCAGAACTCCCATAGGCTATATACTGGACTTTTGATGCTTACAGTAACAGTCATTGCCCATATGCACATGTAACCATCAGTGTTGATGTCTTATGGGGCCAGGCTAAGTTTGAATTGAAGCCCAACAGACCATTTTTATAACAGCCCAATAGGCATTTGATAACTAGATTTAGGTCCAACTCAATCTAATATGGCTTACCATCAAAACCCATAAGCTAAGTTTGGGTTTGCCAATATGTGCATATAAGTAAACTTGCTTAAATTTAGAAAATGAATTTTTGAGTGAAGTGGACAGTAGATATCGAAGGGATACATATCTAATAATTAAAATATGGGTTCCATCTAGCAAGAACAAAGATTTCAACCTTGCCACTTGTGTTCTTAGATCTATTAAGGAGGCCAGGAGTGGGGACATATAATTTTATTTTTATCATTCAAGTAAAGAGAAAGGAAACTAGACTCGTTGGCATCTGAATTTATCTATTTTCTCACAAGATATCTCTGGAAATTATTCCAAGGGAGTGGTCATATTAAAGAATTATTAGTGGAAACATTAACGGTTCATGAGTCCATGTTATGTGTAGAATATAAATCTTGTAAATCAAACGGATGACTAGAATATAAATCTAGCAGAAATTGACACGCGCATATCGTGTCCCGGAGAAAATCTTCAGTCTATATATGTGTGGAACTTGAAAGTTCAAGCCATGCTTCATACAAAATTTTGACACGTTATATGTACATATTCACTAATATTCTGGATACTTCATATGCGATTTTTCATTTTTCTAGTGCACGAAGGTGAGGGAAAGATGAGTCAGGGATAGCTACATATGTGAACAAATATTAGATTCTGCTAGAATGCGTATTGAAAATAGTTGCCCATTTTCCTATTATACATATGTAATCAAAGGCCTCGAATTATGTTTAGCCTGTGTTTCGTGCAGAGTATGATACATGCTACTGCTTGAGTCTGAAGTAATGATCTACTGATTTTTAGGATTGCCAAATATCTGAAATATTGAAGCAACATAATTCTGGGCTTTAACAAATAATGATAAACCTCTCTGGAAATATTTGATATATTCGTTAGACTTTGCTGGATTGCAATAGTTCTTGAACCATATTTTTACTGCATAATTTAAAGGAACAGGGATTGCCATGTGCTGTTAGAAGTTAGAAACACCCATCTTGAACACTTGTGGTCCTGTCAGACGCAAACTAAAAAAAAAAAAGAGGAAGGGATAAATTTACTCAATATAATGTTAAAAAAGCGCATCGAGCATTATAATGAAACGTTGGGTAAAAAGCTTTGGAGGTGAATGGTGGCGGCGAGGAGAAGAGGCTCTTGGACGGTACCACAGTTTTGGATTTCGACATGCTTTGTTGCCCGGTAGCTTTGCATACTCATTGGTGGTGTTGGTGATGAAGAAGAGGTTACTGAATTTGGTGGAGTCTTCACGGATGAGGGCAGGTGAACTTCTCGATTGCTTTGAAGGCCATCGAAACGCCCTTGAATCCAGATGGTAGCTTTCCTGTTTGTGGGGTTGGGTTGGTTGGCTCTGGCTTTTTGACATTCTAGGTAGAGAGAAGGGTTTTGAGGAACATTGATTGTTTTGAGGGATCAGGATTTTTCTGTTTGCGTTTTGGTTCTTTGAAGGTTTAAGTTCAATTTGTCTTTTTTCGTTTTGGGTTTCTATTTCGAGCTCTACCCAGAGATATTGGCAATGCTCTGTAAATTGGCTGTGATAGTGTTAAGTATTGTGATCTAGAATGGGGTGGTTGCTCCATATGATCAGCCAAAGCCCAAAAGAACAGTGGCCACAGCTGCACCTCCAGGGAGTTCAATGGGTTAGACCCCAAACACATTAAAGGGGAGAAATTCTATTAGCATTGAAATTCTGTTATCTTCCCATTTTTTTTCTGGGTTCGGAACTCTTGACAAATGAAATTAAGGGGGTGTTTGGATACATATTTTTTTCTGCAAATCGAGATAAACTTCTCAATATATTTACCTCGTAGACTGTAAAATCACTTCTGAAATCATAATTTGGTTTCTATTCAAACACCCCATAAATTGTTTTGACTTGTCACCTTGACCCTCATAATTATATGGATGTCTTTGTGGTCAATAAAAAACCAAAACGCTAGAATAAAATAAAGAGATAAAGGGGAAGAAAAAGGAAAGGGGCTAGAGGGTGAGGGATAATTTGAAAGCTTGCTGTTGTAGATGATTATGACATGTAGTGCCTGTAACTTGTGAATGACAGCTCGTACGTTTTTGCAGTCGTCCTTGCTATCAATTTGGGAAGAACAATGAATGGTTAAGCTTTAATATAACCCCTCAATTCGAATATCGAAAATGATATTTGAAACACACACACGTGTATATGTGTGTGAGCGCGCGCAAGGTACTAAATGAAAAAATCTCTTTATTCATTAAATTCCTTATATTCATTAAATTAAGTTGTCTAATAGTTCTGACGAGAATGAGAGATTCTCAGAGCATACGAACCTGTTACATGTGATTAAAAAACCTGAAATAATGAATGTAAAGAATTTTACCCAAGTTTTTCATTTGGTATCTCATGTTTACACGTTTCAAATGTTATTTTTAATATTCGAATTGAGCGGTTCCCAATAAGTCCTCCCAATATTTGGTTTCATAAATATATTTAATCAAGAGATAAAGTGTTTAAATATTGTGAAAGTATTCACAAAAAAGCACCCAACACTTGAAAATTTTTTCTTAGACCCTTGTATGTCCTAAAACTTTATTTTTTAAGCAAAAATACCCTGACCGTTAACAGTCAAATATAATGACTAATAATGATGTAGGACAAAAATGCTATAAAATAAAACTTTTAGAACATTTAAGAACAAAAAATTAAAAAAAAAATTCAGATGCTGAATACTTCTTTATGATACATTTAAAGTACTTTAGCAACCTCATTACGGATTCTAATTCCATCCATTGAATTTTGTCAATGGAGCCTTAGTGAAGGAGAAGGTACAAATTTTTTAAATAAATAAATGTCTTTATTCTAATATCATCATTCATCAAATCACGATTCAAATCTCCAAAATTTAAAATAAATCATAATTGGATCAAATCATAATTTTAAAAGTAATTTTATATTATACAAAATAAACTAAAAATACTTTTTAAAAATAATTTTTGTTTCACCCAAATACCTTCATCGGACCCGAAAAACATCAGTCACGGCAAACAAACGTAAACCCGCCATTCACGTGTGTGTCACGTCATCAAGGGCGCGCTTATATAAGCAGAAGCCAGAGACCGAGGACCCTAAAACCCTAACTCAGTCGTGCTAAAACTCTTGCGCCTTTCGTCTGCCCTGCAGAAACCTCCTGCCACTGAGAAATGGCTATGTACTTCGTGCTTCGCCGCGCATCCTCATCAGTATTGCCACTGGCATTTCGCACCATGGCATCTCCTAGAAACTCCCACTACGCTGCCTCTGCTGTTCGTACGGCTGGAATCAGTCATCGTCTCATTGAAAGGATCCTTCTACCCTCCGTGCGCTTAGCTAATTCCTTCGCTTCAAAGACGAATGCCGATGAAAGTCTTCTTGGAGTCCTTGAAACTGAGATTCAATGCGCCGAAGAGGAGGAACATGAAGTGAGTAACAGTTATTTTTATATAATCATCTTCAAGCCTTTTTTACTCTCAGCTATTTGCAAGTGAATTTATCTTTTGTTTCTGGAATACGTATGCCTGAAATAATCTTTATCGCAAGTTGACAACAGAATGTCTTGACTATATTGATCATTTTGTTGCTATACGACTTTCCTCTGCATTCCTTATCATTTTTAAGCATTCTTCTGCAGTCGTGAGAGTAAATATGTTACAGCCCCAAAAAAACAAAACAGAAAAGTAATTTCATTATTAAATTGGGCAAGTGAGAAAAATTATGTAGAAAGTGAATAAGTGATACGAAAGTCAGTTTAGAAATTTAGTTAAGTATGTTTATTGGTTGTGTAATTACGGTCTTTTCTGATGTATTTGCTGTTTTTGTAGTTCAGATGTGTTGGTCTTTGTTTAGGTTTAATTAAGGTAAGTTTTCATAAAAGTTTAGTGATGCCATTGTTTTCGGTGAAGTACTTTTAGGAGTTGCTGCATATAAACAAACAAACAACAAGCCTTATCCCACTAGGTGGGGTTGGCTACATGAATCACACGACGCTATCGTGCTCTGTCAATCCTTAGATATGTTGTTGATTAGGAGGTCTCGTTCAATGACCTCATTCAGCGTTCTTCTCGGTCTTCCCCTGCCTCTTTATATGGGACTCCATCTTGTTTGATCCACCCTCCTCACCGGGGCCTCCAAAAGCCTTCTCTGCACATGTCCAAACCATCTTAAGCGATTTTCAACCATTTTCTCTTGGACAGGTGCCACACCGACTCTTGTCCTGATCTTTTCATTTCGAATCTTATCTTTTCTTGTATGACCACACATCCATCTCAACATTCTCATTTCTGCTACTCCGACTTTGTGCTCTTGTTTTCCCTTTATTGCCCAACATTCACTACCATACATCATAGCTGGTCTTATAGCAGTCCGATAAAATTTTCCTTTAAGTTTCTCAGGTACCTTCTTATCGCAAATAACTCCGGTAGTTTTCCTCCACTTTAACCAGCCAGCTTGTATTTTATGAGAAATGTCTCCATCAATTTCCCTATCCTCCTGTATAATGGATCCTAGGTATTTAAACTTTGATACTTGAGGAATAATTTGCTCTCCCATCCTCACCTCCAAATCCCTATTTCCTTGCCTCCCTCCAAAATCACAATGTATATATTCTGTTTTGTTTCTGCTCAAACGGAAATCTTTCGACTCCAAAGTCCTTCTCCATAACTCTAAACTAGTGTTAATCTCTTCTTTTGATTCCGCCATAAAAACTATATCATCCGCGAAGAGCATGGACTTAGGGATTCTTTCTTGAACAGGTTTAGTTAGAACATCCAGAACAATGTTGAACAAGTACGGACTCAGAGAGGATCCCTGATATAGGCCAATCTTAATAGGAAAGTCCTTTGTCTCCCCCCCAGGCGTCCTTACACTGGTAGTTACCGCCTCATACATATCTTGTATGACTTTAATATACGCAACCCGTACACCTTTCTTTTTCAAAGCCTTCCACAATACTTCTCTTGGCACACGATCATAAGCCTTTTCCAGGTCAATAAAAACCATATGTAAATCTCTTCTTTTACTTCTATATCTCTCCATTAACCCCCTTAATAAATAGATTGCTTCCGATATGGATCTCCCTGGCATAAATCCAAATTGGTTTTCCGAAATAGAAGTCTCCAACCTCAATCTATATTCCATCACTTTTTCCCACAACTTCATTGTATAATTCATAAGTTTTATCCCCCTGTAGCTTGCACAATTTTGAATGTCTCCTTTATTCTTGTAAATAGGAACTAAAATGCTTTTCCTCCACTCATCCGGCATATTTTTAGAGCGTAGAATTTTATTAAAAAGCTTGGTTAGCCATACCTCCCCCTCATTGCCCAAACATTTCCAAACTTCAATAGGGATACCATCAGGCCCAACGGCTTTTCCATTGTCCATTTTCTTGAGAGCCGCCTTAACCTCTCCGATACGTATCCTGCGGTAAAAAGCCAAATTCCGATCATCTTCGTTAATTAGCAAGTCCTGCAAGTCTTGAGTCGCATAATTGCTTCCCTCATTAAACAACTTGTATTTAGGAGTTGCTGCATATATCTCACCTTTTTTGAGGTGCGGCTTGCAAGGGATATAATGACTCAATTGTCATCAATCTGAGAAATAATGTAATTTTATGAATATTTGAATATATTAGGCAATAGCCGCTTTAATAGCCAACCTCTACTGCTATTATATAACCTACCAGCAAGTTTTAATTATTTTCGATTACCCTAACTCTGCTTTTGTTAAACAAAGAAGAAAAAACTGGGTAATTGTTTCTATATGGAAAGAATACCTGATGCAGCCATTATGAGGATGCTATTTGATTGCTTTTCCATAGAATTTATTTGAATGTGATGTTAGTTATGATGTTAGCTTACCTATTGATTTTGTTGCCTTTTCTTTTGTGCAAATCTTTATTAAGGTGGAGGAAGTGCCAAACGATTTTCCATTTTCAATTGAAGACAATCCTGGTGAGAGAACCATTCTCCTTAAGAGACAATATGAGGATGAAACCATCATAGTGCAAGTTGACATCCCAAATGTAGTGGCGGAGGAAGATGAGGATGAGGGTAATGATGAGGAGGAGAAGCGTGATGAATCTAGCATTCCTTTAGTTGTAAATATTTCCAAACCAAATGGGGTCACTCTGGAGTTTGGTGTGACTGCATTTCCTGATGAGATTTCCATAGAGAGTTTGTCCATAAAACAGTCAGAGGAATCAGAAGACCAGCTTGCATATGAGGGACCTGAGTTCCAGTAAGCACTCCTTTATAGATGACATTATCTAAACCTTTTTTGTAATTTTCCATCTTCCTATTGCTGATGGTCTAATCATACTTTTGTCTACAGTGATCTGGATGAAAATTTGCAAAAGGCGTTCCACAAGTATCTTGAGATACGAGGGATCAAACCCAGCACAACTAACTTTATGCATGAATATATGGTCAACAAGGACAGCAAAGAATACTCCATGTGGCTGAAGAATCTGAAGAAATTTATTGAGACATGATTTAGAATATATGGTCAACCAGGTAGAGTGTCATCCTTCATGGCAGCAGGACAAATTACGGGCTTTCTGCAAGTCCAAGGGTGTACACCTCTCTGTAGGTCCTCTTATTTTGAATTACCCTCAATCAACTGCCTGAAAAGTGGCTGTTATTTATGTTAGATTTTTAAGAGTCGGCAAGTTGGCCTTAAAATCTGGTTTTATTCCTTGAATTGAGTTTCGAAGTGCACATGGCTAGGGATATTCTCCATTAGGTTCTCCCGGGACAACCTGGCTTCAGAGTGATGTTCTGAAGCATCCAACCCTGAACATGCTTGCGGAGAGATTAGGCAAGACTCCTGCACAGATAGCTCTTCGTTGGGGACTGCAAATGGGTCACAGCGTGCTTCCTAAGAGTACAAATGAAGCAAGGATAAAAGAGAACTTTGATGTTTTTGACTGGTCGATACCTGAGGACTTGTTTGCGAAATTTTCTGAGATTACACAGGTTAATTTTTGATGTTTATCTTCACTCTTTTTGCTATTTCAAGACGTGAACTGATAATAAATAATGTGAATGCGATAACAACTATGGTATATAAAGTCGTGATTATCCTGACAATGGATCATATTTTGCAGTCAAGATTAATCAGGGGTACTGCATTTGTCCACGAAACTTATGGAGTTTACAGATCCATTGAGGAATTCTGGGATGGTGAAATTTGAGCATTAGGCTGAATGACCAATTGGACAAGCCGAAGGAATAAGAGTGAAGTGTCTTTTGGCCTTTTGAGTGAGTAGGAGTAGGGGCTCTGGGAAAGTGGAGATTTGTAGACTCTGTTCACTTTCTCAGCAAAACCGGTCCTTAAATACGTTTGATCATTGGCTGCAATTTCTGTTCATGGATTATTGGATGACTAATGTAGTTAATCTTTCAACAACTGCATGATTTATTGAAAGATTACATTGTGACCCCTGACAATGTGTCTGGAGTCTAATGTAAACTGTATGACCCCTGAATAAATATTATATATATAATGAATATATATTATTTAGTTATATAAAACCTAAAATAATCATATTGCAATTATTTAATTGTTAACAAGATAACATATATAGAAGTTGTTAAAACAAGCTGCACCAAGTTTGAGGTCAAGCAATGTTGTCACTTGTTTGTGAATAATTTCTTTTCTGCTTTATTCATTCCTGTATTTGAGTTCAGGAACCCAACGTTAGACCTAGAATGGCTTATCATTGAGACCAAATGTGGCAATAATAATCTGAATTCTTATTTACCCAAAAAAAAAATTGTAACTTCCTATGTAGTTTATAATTCATTAATTATATATATCAATATATTGATACTAACATTGATCCCAAATTTATGATAAAATTTCCCCTAAAGAATGATTATGCACATTAACACATAGAACATGCATACATCGAACTTTGAAGTGGCAAAAAAATTACAAAGTTAAGAAAAATAAAAAGATTGCACACCTTTCACTGACACACCAATTTGTTTTTGCTGGGCTTCCATGATCCTTGCCTTAGAGCTCATTACGGATTCGAATTCCATCCATTGAATTTTGTCGATGGAGCCAAAACCAAGGAGAAGGTACAAATTTTTTAAATAAATAAATGTCTCTATTCCAATATCATCAAATCACAATTCAAATCTCTAAAATTCAAAATGAAATCACAGGTGGACCAAACCATAATTTTAAAAATAATTTTACATTATACAAAATAAATATGTGAAAAAAAAAATTTATTTCAATTAGCATAAAAATATTTTTTTAAAAATGATTTTTGTTTGACCCAAATACCTCCACCGAAGCGGAAAAACATTAATCACGGCAAACAAACATAGACCCGCCATTCACGTGTGCGTCACGTGATCAATGGAGCATATAAGCAGAACCCAGAGACCAAGGGCGCTAAAACCCTAAATCAGTCGTGGTAAAACCCTTGCGCCTTTCTTCTACCCCGCAAAAACCCCCTCCTACTGAGAAATGGCTATGTACTCCATGCTTCGCCGCGCATCCTCATCAGCATTGCCTCTGGCATTTCGCGCCGTGGCATCTCCTAGAAGCTTCCACTATGCTGCCTCTGCTGTTCGTACAGCTGGAATCAGTCATCGTCTCGTTGAAAGGATCCTTCTACCCTCCGTGCGCTTAGCTAATTCCTTCGCTACAAAGACGAGTGCCGATGAAAGTCTTCTTCGAGTCCTTGAAACTGAGATTCAATGCGCCGAGGAGGAGGAACATGAAGTGAGTAACAGATGCATTTCTTATATTTTTATATAATCATCTTCAAGCCTTTTTTACTCTCAGTTATCAATCGGTATACTGATCCACATACTCTACAGCAATCATGCTCATAATTCAACTTCTATTTTCGGAGGAAAATTTTCAGGAAGCTATTTGCAAGTGAATTTTTCTTTTGTTTCTGGAATACGTATGCCTGAAATAATCTTTATCACAAGTTGACAACAGAATGACTTAACTTTATTGATCACTTTGTTGCTATACGACTTTCCTCTGCATTCCTTGTCATTTTTAAGCATTCTTCTGCAGTCGTGAGACTAAATATTTGCAGCCCCAAAAAAAACAGAAGAGAAAAGGAATTCATTATTAAATTGGGCAAGTGAGAAAAGTTATGTAGAAAGTGAATAAGTGATACGGAAGTCGGTTTAGAAATTTAGATAAGTATGTTTATTTGTTGTGTAATTATGGTCTTTTCTGATATATTTGCTGTTTTTGTAGTTCAGATGTGTTGGTCTTTGTTTAGGTTTAATTAAGGTATGTTTTCATAAAAGTTTAGTGATGCCATTGTCTTCAGTGAAGTACTTTTAGGAGTTGCTGATTATATCTCACCTTTTTTGAGATGCGGCTTGCAGGGATATAATGACTCAATTGTCACTATGTTTTGCATTGAAGTATTGGATCAATCTGAGAAATCATGTAATTTTATGAATACTTGAATATATTAGGCAATAGCCGCTTTAATAGCCAGCCTCTAATGCTATTATATAACCTACCAGCAAGTTTTAATTATTTACGATCACACTAACTCTGCTTTTCTTAAACAGAGAAGAAAAAACAGGGTAATTGTTTCTATATGGAAAGAATACCTGATGCAGCCATTATGAGGATGCTATTTGATGGCTTTTCCATAGAATTTATTTGAATGTGATATTAATTATGATGTTAGCCTACCTATTGATTTTGTTGCCTTTTCTTTTGTGCAAATCTTTATTAAGGTGGAGGAAGTGCCAAACGATTTTCCATTTCAATTGAAGACAATCTTGGTGAGAGAACCATTCTCCTTAAGAGACAATATGAGGATGAAACCATCATAGTGCAAGTTGACATCCCAAATGTAGCGGCTGAAGAAGATGAGGATGAGGGTAATGATGAGGAGGAGAAGCGTGATGAATCTAGCATTCCTTTAGTTGTAAATATTTCCAAACCAAATGGGGTCACTCTGGAGTTTGGCGTGAGTGCATTTCCTGATGAGATTTCCATAGAGAGTTTGTCCATAAAACAGTCAGAAGAATCAGAAGACCAGCTTGCATATGAGGGACCTGAGTTCCAGTAAGTACTCCTTTATAGATGACATTGTCTAAACCTTTTTGTAATTTTCCATCTTCCTATTGCTGATGGTTTAATCATACTTTTGTCTACAGTGATTTGATGAAAATTTGCAAAAGGCGTTCCACAAGTATCTTGAGATACGAGGGATCAAACCCAGCACAACTAACTTTATGCATGAATATATGGTCAACAAGGACAGCAAAGAATACTCCATGTGGCTGAAGAATCTGAAGAAATTTATTGAGACATGATTTAGAACTATTTTTTATTACGAGTGGTGAACCCCTCGTCGTGTTCAGGATTCATTCATAACCGTTGTTCTCATGTTATGATAAGTGCTGGAGTAGATTATTGATTTTGATCAACTGTTTAGGGAGACAGTTGCTTTGGATGGTTCAAAGTTATCTTAGCCTCTTGTATGTTTTTGAATTCCTAATTTCCTTCCATAAGATGGTCAGAAGAGTATAGTTTACCATGCCCAAATCTGATAAATAACATTCAGCTGTTTAGGATTTTGAAGACCAAAGTACACGATTGACGATTCAGGTACCCACATGTTCAAATTGTTGCATAACAGGTTTGAATCCATTTGACTCCGGATTCACTAATATTGCATGGGCCGACCAGGTAAATGCGTGGCGGATTCTTTTTAAAGAGAAATATAATCGAATTTATTAAGCGAGCTAGATCGGGTCCCTGAAAAATAATGGGC